ATTTCTCTGTAATTTTTAGGCGGCGGCAACAACAGCAATTGAGTTTTCGAAAACTTGTCGTCAGCTGAGCTGAGACTCAGAGTAGGAAGTCATCATCATCTCCGAGAACTTCTCTTTGCGATACGAACGTCACGATCCCATCCGTCGCGAGATCTTTGGTCACCGAAGCAAGCGCTGTATTTCGCCGTAAATTTCGTTTCGACTTGAGTTTATTTTTGTTGTGTTTTTTGTTTTTGCCCGGTTTTCAAGGCAATCAGGTGCAATAGTTTCCCACTCGTTGGTTCCGAATGGTCGCCTTTTTATCTGTCTGACGCTGCTTCGGCTCGGCTCTTGCGAAAACGGCAAAACAAAGCGGAAATGAATGGATCGGAATCGGATCGGTTGGGATCGGATCGATTTGATGACGGCTGTGTTCGCTCTCGAACAAGTGCAGAAACGTTTGGAGCGTGTTCTCTATGAGTTCGATTGCCGTTCAAGCCCCGTTCCAATGTTAATATTCTGCCTTTCTTGCTGTATTGCTTCTGCCTGTGCTCTGCCTGTGCCTCTGTCGCTGATTGTTCCTTGCATTGCGGCCGCGATGCCTACAGCGGGTTGCTTCCTGTTCGAATACTTTTTCTTATCAACGTGCCTGCCCTGCCTGTGTTATGCTATCGGTCAGGGTCGACGTCAGGGAGGTGCACATCAGGTTGGCTCTCTGCTCAGCCTCTCCTCGTCCGTGTCCGGGTCCTGGTTCCTGTTGACAGATTGTCTTATTGGCGTTGAATTGATTTGATTGCAGGCACTCTTTGTGGTGCGCCTGTGCCATCGATCGATATGTATTATGCAAGCGATAATTGGTAATCGAATGGAAGGTCCATCCCGAAAATGCTCTTTTAAGATAAGGAGGGAATGATGTAAAAATCTGGATAGTAAAGAAAGTTCTGGTCTGGTCTATTAATGTGCCACTTTCTGTTATTTCATTTGGTACAGTCATGCTCTGGATATAGATTGAAAAGTGCAGACCCGACATTGTCCCAGTTCTCCTTCGGTTGTTCTCACCGATAACTTGTTTAATGATTATTCAAATTACTTTTTAAATATGAATTTCGTCTATCGCTTATCGCTTTCCTTCAAATAATCAGCCGGCCATATTTTTTGGCACATTTTTCGCCATTTCGTGTTCTCTTCGCAGATAAGGATAGACCTACTTTCATTGAAAGTAACGCAATAAATAAAGCACTTTTGTACTATCGATGCTTATGAGGGCAGATAATGTTCAATGGGAGAAAGATTGTCATTCCGTAATTTTAATAGTGAAGAATCGAACGGGTTTCATCTAGTAAAATGAATGTGCGTATGTCCTGTCTCAGAAACTAAGACTTAGTCTGCTTTACAGGACTCGCAATTTTTGACGGAATTCCCCCATTTATTGTAAGCTGCCTTCTCCCTTCGCAATACGGAATACACTCGTAATCCGGCTAATGGAATCCAAACATTCAACTGTGCCACAAGACTCTACGAATATGCAAAGCGGCCACCTGTTTTGGCTAAAATGATCTCCCCGCTGCGTCGTGCCGCCTCAACCATTGTTATGGCTGGTTGGCTGGTGTGCTGGTGGCGTGGTGCCGTGGTGCCGTGGTGCTGCAGTGGGGCCCAGGTCCTACTCATGTCCACGGCCATAAATTCGCATTCAAAACTCGTCTAAATCTAAACCGAAGCAACATGTGTGTTGTTCGAGAGTGAGTGAAAGAGTGAGTGAGTGCCGGCAAGAGCGTCGGCGGTGGACATGGCCGAAAGGGGATGGAGTGATGGTGGGTGGGAAGCTTTGGGGGGTGCCGTGCCCCATAGCATATGTGTGTGAATAGCGAATGCTGGCAAAATATTTGCACGACGCAGCCTCACACTCGCACACACACACACACACACACTCGGTATGGCGGAAAAGCTGGCTAACTGCGGGCGCAGAGGCACAGGCAGAGGCAGAGGAGGAGCGCGTGTGGGCGGTTGCGCAACGCCGACGCGACGCTTGCATTGAACTCGGAAGTAAACGCAATAGAAATAGAGAGAATATCCCACACTGAAACCAGTTGTTGGCTGTTGGCGACGCCATGCGACGAGGAGGAACATGCAACATCAACATCATAACATATTCAAATCGCCAGCAGAGCGACAGCAGCGACACCGACAGCGCTGTAACTGACAGCATAGCCATAGCATAGCAGAGCAGCGCAGCAGCAGAGCCAATCGGAGCTTTTACTCTCACGTGAAAACTGAATTTTGTTTGCTTTTTTTTATTGTTGCATCGCGTCACGAATTAAACTAAACAAACAGCGGAACACGGCAACCGAAAAGAAGCTGGGGAAAAGCCCCGACTAGGAGATGCTCTGGTTTCTCTCTGCACTGCATTCCATTCGCCTCATTCATTCAATCATTGCGATCAATCGGTGGTAGCCACTTTATCGCTTCTAAAAGTATGCTGCGGAAATTGTCCACAAAGAGCAGAGCATAAAAAGATCAAGGGAAGAATATTGCCTGGCTGAGGCAAGGGTTGCCTCTTTATTAATTTCTTATGGTTGTTTAGCCCATTCCGGGGATACAGTGGACTAGCTCTTTAAACTAAAAACTACCAAAAACCTACGCTGACTTTTACTTGATCTATCTCTCTATTTCTTAGAAATTCCGCATTTGGCTATTGGCAGCCCCTTAGAACTTTTTATGCAAAATAACTCATAGACACAAAAAGCCCATGTGTAGGAACTCTTAACTTTCCTATCTATGCATTAATCGAACCCTCAATCAAAAGATATGTACCTACCAGTTGCATGCCTCGTAGTCATAGTCTTACTACTACCTTTTTGCACCGTGCCACATCGTACCCGGTGTCGTGCCACAGCGTACCCGTGCCCCTTTCCATTAAGTTAACGTAAACCCCCGATTTCTCGCTCGCCTTGTTCGCAAAAATAATGACATCAGCGACAACGAGAGAGGCACCAAGCAAAGCACCGAAGCAGGATGCGGCAGAAATTGGTTTGTTTGAGATTTTGGGTTCCGTTCCGCCGTTGCCGTTGCGTTGTGTTCCGTTTTCGAGTTCTCCTCTCGACTCGAAAACAATCATCAGTCAACGTTTGTCCACAGCCTGCGTCGGACTGTCGCTGCTGCTGCCCGTGCCTGACCTTCAATCAAAATTCGCTTCAAATTAGAATTGGCGCGCATTTGGTTTTGGCCATATGCAATTTTTTGTATTTGGGGCCCAAGAGATAAGCTCCGGCAACGGCAATCGGCGGCGGCAGCAACAGCAACAGCAACAGCGGCGAAAACAGCAAAAATGTTTCAAGGCGAAAACGCAAACGCGGACGCCGCCGCAGCAGCAGCAGCAGCAGAATATCTTTTGCTTTGGCTGGCTGGCTGTCAGTCAGGCCAAGCAGTGCGTCGCATAAAATAGCACAGGGCAGCGCGCACACGGCACACGGCACACGAAACGATGCCCAAAAGTACCTGGCACCACCAAGGCACAAAGATACAGATACAGAGGCAGCCACGGCTACGGCTACGAGAGCCAGGCCAGGCCAGGCCAAGCAACCAGTCAGTCAGCCAGCCAGCCAGCCAGCGCCAACATCAGAGATACTGATATGAACGGAGCGGAGCGGTGGCAACTGAAATAAACAAAAATGTTGAACAAAACAGCCAGAAAGCAGCAGCACCAGTGGATGAGGCAGAATCAGAGAGACGGCAACTCTGTGCCGTCGCTTTGTTGCTGTTGCTTTGCCTTCGCTTCGGCACATACCACACCACACCACACCACACACAAAATGAGACTCTGTGTGAGTGTGTGAGTGCGCATGTGGAAATGTACCTTTATATAAACGAAAACGAACGAACGAACGACCCGACACACTACATGAAATCCCAACTGACAAGCAGCCAGTGTGTGCGATTGTGCTGTGCTGGTGTGTGTGTAGACTGTTAGTCAGCATTTGTGGAGCGTACAGGGTTGCCGGATGGCAGCAGAATTGACTCATGCGAACGGCAGTTACTACTGCGAAAGTGGGTTGCGTTGCTGAACGATGGGAAAGTTTTTGGGGAAACTTTGGACCTTACATAGAGGGGGTTTCTTATTATAGAGTGAATTTATTGATCTCTTATTCTGGGATTGATACTAGAATAACTTCATTAAAGCAATTCATAAATGGGTAATATATATGAAAAATTAACAGAATCGTTGATATTATTGATCTATTATTGGGAGATATTTCATGTTCTTTGTTGTACAACATTTGGGAGTGGGATCTCTAAACAAAATTGGCAGGTTTCTAATGAATTCAGAACTTATTTGAAGATTTAAAAAGATCAAACATATAATTTAGATAAAAAATAATTTATATACCTCAAATGATCCATTATATGATCTTCTATATATTTTAAATCCCTTCGACTTCTACTGATTGTTATCCCAATCGACTCTCAAATCGTTGCCGTTTCCGTTCGGGCACATCTGGCAACGCTGCGAGGTCTCTTTTCAAATAAACACCCGCTCCCACAACTGGCAGCGCGAACAGCGTCAACTCAACCGTTTGCACAACGTCGTTTCAACGTTGGGTTTTCTGTTTCTGTTGCTGTTGCTGTTACTGGTTGCTGGGGCTGTTCGTTGCTTTATTCCACTGAAATATTTGTGCTGGCAATGCCGTTGCCTTGCGCTACAGCTGGCAATGCCGTCCCGCATTGTATACGTAGCCCTCCCTCTGCCTGCACCGCCGCCGCTCGCTCAGCCCCTGCTCTCCAGAAACTCGTTCAGTTTCAATGCTTTTTACATAAGTGCGCGCCGAGAGAGGGAGCGAGAGAGAGCGAGCCCATGGTCTAGCGTCTCGCTCTGGCGAAACAGGGGTGCATTTACTCGTATTCGATGCGATTCTGGGTGTGTGTGTGTGCGCGCGAGTATCTGTGTGTACGCCAAGGAGTATCTGTGTGAGTGCGTGCTGGTTTGCCGTTGCCGTTTGCCTGCTGCTTGCTTCTTGAACAACGACCGACCAGTTTATTTGTGATTTTAACACGGCAGCCAGAGGTTCACGTCGCTCTCCGCTCCGTGTGTCCGCCAGAGCCAGAGCCAGAGCTCCAATACGAAAACGACGTAAAAATCACCATCAGCAGTAGCGCGCGTAATTCAAAGTTATCATCATCAAACAGTCCCAAAAGCAATTCGAGACAAAAAGTGCTCCAAAATAATAATTATTAACTGAATTAAATGTGTACCAGAATAAAATCAGAATAAAAAAGTGACCAACAATTTAATGTTAAACGGAACACAAAACATTACAAAGTTTATAACTTTGAATACTGAAATTAGCTAAGAAAATGTCATCTGGTGTTCAGTGCTGTGTTGCCGCTTTGGTCCAGGCGGCAGGCTGCTACTCCTCCTGCTCCTCCCTGGGACACCTGCTGGCCGCCCTTTGAGACCGCCAAAGGATTCTCCCACTTTCAGTGACTTAACCGCAGTTGGAAAGCGATAGATCTGGACACAAACTACCGCAAAAAGAACTTTTATTCCGTTTAACGTTTCTATCCATTGGATATAAACATTGTGAACTTTAAGTCATCCTTGAGAACGGCCCAGCCGAAAATGTGCACAGAGGTGAGTGTCGTTTTGAGATGATCTCTAAGTGGATCTCTCCCAGTGATGTGTATTATTATATGGGATCTAGACGATGAACTGCAAGAGATTGTATAGCATGGAGTATGACCTCCTATGGGTTATACACTGAAGTGTGAGGGTTTTCATGGATTACTTTAAGATAGTGGATACTTCCAACTACTACCCTGAATACTATGTTTCAGCACAGTCTCTTCTTGCTCTCTTAGGGAGCCTAATTCTCTCAAGGAAAGACAGCATTCTCAAAAGTAATTGAATGTAGGAACTGGTCTGGTAACTAGGATAGGAACGAAAGGAATTAAGTAATCTGAAGATTAAACGTCACTTTTAGGGAAACCTTCCTGGGATTTCAATAAAACTTAATATTAATCCCGTTACTTGGAAGTAGTCAGCTGCTGCTTTCCTGCCCTCTCTCTGTGGAGAGCTTTCTTTATCAGCAACTTGAACTTGCCGCAAGTTCAGTTTCAGAGTTTGATAAGAAGCAGTACGTGTGTGTAGGTTTATGTGTCGGTGGCGGAGCTGTGGGGGCTGTTCTTCTACTAGCAATTGGGTGAGTCATTCAGGTGGCATGCCCCCGCCCGACCATACACCTGCAAAAACAACATCAGCAGCAGTGTGTGATGGTGCCTTAGAAATGCGCGTAGTCGTAGCCTCAACATGTGGTTTGTGGCCACTACCTCCTCCTTCTACTCCTCCGCTTATTGGCAATGCGTAGGTGATGCGGTGCCTCGGGAGTGGGTGGCATGGCATGACTTGGTTAAAGGATAATGTGTGTTGCAAGCTTAGGCTGAGGCGACTGCCGCTTGCCCTTCCACATGTAAACAATGCAAAAGTTGCACGTGCAACGAGCCAGAGTCCATGGCACCCCACTGTCGTCCATCCCTCTCTGGACAGGCACCATGAAGCGCCATCTATTGGCACACATTCGCAATATGCTAAATAGCCGCTGCTTACGTCGCTGTTGCCGGCTAAGCTGCAGCGCTCCTCAGTCAGCAGCAGCAGCAGCAGCAACGTCTAATGCAACAATTGGACATCGGAGCAGCAGCAGCAGAAAAGCAGAGACAGCTGACTTTTGGGGGCCCCCGTTTCGTTTAATTAATTACATGCACAAAGCGCTCTTTTTCGGCTCGTCCTCTCTCCACTCTCTGCTTGCGTGTGTGTGTGTGTGTGTGCTCTCTCACACCCGTTGGTCGTTCTGATGGCGGGGGGGGGGGGTGTTGAAAAACAGCAACAAACTTTTTGGCGTCGGTCGCCTCGTTGCCCGTTTCTCTGTCGCCCGTCAATTGCTCTGTTTACGTTTTCTCTTTCGTTTGCGACAGCGCTGCCGCTGCATTAATTTCTTAGTTCTGTGTAGAGATGTTGTGCTGGGGAGGGGAGGGAAGGAGAGCCTTTTATAATCTATGGCCCTCCATAATCGGGAAAGGGTATGAATCTGTTTGAATGTGAGTTGGAATTTCCTCTCCTCTAAGATGTTCATTAACACTTTCATCTAAGGGCATTCCCATATTCGTCACGACCTTCCCTCCGCCCAGTGGCTGGCTCTGTATCTTTATTCCTTCTTTCTTTGCTCTTCTTTTTTAATTGTTCTTTATGGTTATGTGCTGTTGTTGTTTTTGTTGTTGCTGTTGTGGTTCTTCTTCTCCTTTTGATGGTCTGGTCTGGCGGTGTGGCATTTTTTGGGGTGGTGCAAAATTCCGGCACGGCACGAGACTTAATTCACTTAATTGAGCAGCGACGCCGACGTAGACGCAGACGTTGGCCGCAACTGCGACAGAGGAGAGGCTCGGCCGGCGCGGTTCTGCTCTGCCTTTGCAAATAGTTTGAAGTTGGCGCCGGTCCGGCATGGGGCATGGATGGGGCACGGCACGATGCGGACCGAGAGTGTGCCGCGTGGCCGTGCGGTGCCTCCTCCTTTTGTGATTTCACTTTCAGATACATTAACACAAGTGCGCCTGGCCTGCCCTGGCATCGCCTGCCTCCGAATGCGCGCGCCTTTTGAGTTATTGGTAGCAGAGGCAGAGGCAGTGGCAGTGGCAGTGCAGTGGCAGCAACTGCGGAAGGAAGCCACAGCAGCAGCAGAGCAGAGCAGAGGCAGCGGCAGCCTCCTTCTCTGTTACCCATTTTCTTTGGCTCTTCGATTTTATGAATGAAACTCGCGACTTGGGCTCTGTGTTTGGTTGCAGCAGCAGAGCAGAGCAGCCACACATTTGCATGTGTTCGTTCGTGTGTGGCAAGTGGCAGCAGCAAAGGATACGCACACATGTGTCTGGTGGCCATAAAAATGAAATGCCTCAAGGGGGCACGAACCGTCGTGTATTGTACATATATCTGCTTTATATCCTTTGTTGCTCTCTCCCTCTCTCTCTCTCTCTCTCTCTCTCTCTTAATTTGCCACGCTTCTTAACTTGTTGCTGTTGCTGCCTGCCCCGCTCCTTCGGTCAAGTGCAACACGAAAACGAAAATGGTTCAATGAAGAAAATCATAAAATAAAAAGAGAAGCTCACATAATGATAAGCCAAAAAAGATACGAGCCAGAGGAGGACGAAGACGAAGCCTCCCATTCATCCATTATTCTGGCTCGCGCCAAATAAAGTTGGTTTTTTGTTGTTTTGTTGAGGTTGTTCTTCATTCTGCTGAAAATGTAAACAAAAGCCACACAGCACAGTGGAGCAGGGAAGGCATCTAGCTGGTCGGTCGCATGACCAATTGCGGTCCGAGTCACGACTTTTGTCGCGCCATGGGAGTCAGAGTCAGCAGAGTCAGAGTCAGGTTGTTGTTTGAAATGCAGGAGAGGACGGAACTGAACGGAAAGAACGGAACTACTCAAGGGAGGAGGGGCGATTGGGAATTGGGATCAACACAAAGAGAGATTTACCTGAATGAATCAAGTTGGAAGAGGTATCGACTCGATCTCTCTTTCTCTCTATCCCTACTCAATATACTCCATATAACATTGTTCAAACATCAACTATAGTTTTAAACATCACAACTATCTATCGCTATAGTCTTCCTCTATATGTCCGTATATCCATAGATCCATCATTCACACCATATATCATCCATACGACTTATCTATTTCTCTTTTGGCAGCCAATCTTTTATGATAGTCACGACAAATCTGCAATCTCTATCGCAGCTTACCGCGGCATTCCTATCAATTATACCAACTATGACTAGGCCATAGATTCTCGGCACATTGTTGAGGGCTTTCCTTAATTACTTTCGATTGTGCCGCAAGACCAATTCGTGGGTTAAGTTCAAAGCTGATAAGGGAGCTGCATATCAGCGGGGAATATCTCAGGGCGGGAGTTTCAACAAATCCTAAATTTAACTTAGGAACTTGCACTTATCAAAGCTTAACTAAACAACAGCCAAAACATGGCGAAGACATTGACCAACAGATATCAGATCACACCATAGCATGGCATGGCGTGGCATGGTTGACCGATTGAAAGACCTGCCACATTTGCCACATGGGACGGCTTATATGGCTATGATTGAGTGAGAGAGCGGGGAGGGAGGCCATCCGCGGACTTGGCCGGTATTAATGTATGCCCAAAGCACACACACACACACAAACACACTCGTGCAGAGAGGGGCGGAGGCAAAGACAGCTGACAGAAAATCTTATCAATGAATGCGCATCACTTGCACTTGTTTGCACCAAAGGTAGAGCAGCAGCTTCCAGCAGAAGCAGGAGGATGAGGAGAAGAAGTAGGAGGTGGTGGCGGCTGCAACTGCAACTGCGACGACTGTTGCTACGGGTTCGGGGAATTACCGGCTGGCTTGCTGAATGGCTTGTCGACGTAAATGGTTCGACGACGATGACGGCGAGGCAGCAGATGATGACGTGAATCACAGACAAGACAACAACTACGACGACGAGTACCAACAAACATACACATCCACTCTACACTCCACTCCACAGACACACACATACACACACAGAGAGAGATGCAACACGGGGAGACGCACGCATTAGCATTATTAAATCGCCTGCCGCAAATTCGCGGTTGCGTCACCTACTTAACACGCGGACCAGTGGTCAGTGGCAGCAGAAGTGGCAACAGTGGGTGGTGGCAGCAGCAGCAGCATCATCGCTTGCTTAAGGATAACAGCGCGAGAGCAGAGCACGAGTATTGCCATTAAGCGAAATTAAAGTTATCATGCAAGCAGTGGAGCAAGCAGGGCAGCAAGCACCGTTCATCCTCAAGCTTCTTTCCGCCGCTCTCCACTGCTTGACAACCAACGAGCTGAGAGTGAGAGAGAGAGAGAGGCAGAACCACCAGCAGGGGGACTGTGGGTGGAAAGGACAAGCAGTAGATGAGGAGCGGAAGCAGGGGAAAGATGGACAAGCAGTGGATGAGTGGGAGGGCAGTGCCAGGACAAGCAGTTTAAGAGCAGGCAGGCGTCGCTCCTGCCCTTCCAGCCACGTGGTGTACGTGCAATTCGAAAAGTGGTTTTACCCCCGCATGTCAGACACCCAACCAACCACCCACCACATCCCTCTAGCAGGCATCCTGGTGGTAGGCTTTATTATGTCAGACCAAAGGGGGAAAGAGAGAGAGAGAGAGCGAGAGAGCATTTCACCCAATTTCATTATATTTGCCAACGTTTTTAGCTTTTATACGTCATACGGCGTATCTCACCACGCACCCAACCAATCCACCCCACCAGAGGGTGGGTGGGTAAAAACAGCGAGAGAGTGTCGGTGTGGGTGTCGGTAGAGAAAAGCCGGTTCCAATGTTCGGCTAGGCTCGGCTCGGCTCGGCTCGGTTCTGCACTACACACGACGAATCCACTGCGCAGGGTCGTGCCGAAACATCGCCTCGATGTGGTGTGTGGTGTGACGACTGGGTTTGAGGTTGGGGTGGCAGATGGTTGGGTGGTGTGGTGGTGGGTTTTTTGGGTGGCTTAGGGTGTGTGGTGTATGGGCCTGTGTAGGTGGTTTTCGGCTGCCAGTGCTGCCATACCCATTATTA